TTGGTGCCTCTTAATTCCAAACTACCTTCCCACAGAGAAAAGGCGTACCTATAAATAACCTTTCATCTTTGCTAGTCCTCTTAAATATTTTTTTTCCTAAAAGGGAAGCAGAAGGAGACTGGAATCTGAATAAATTGAATGGTTGAAGCTCATGTCGGCATAGCCTTAGTAAGAGCTCTAGGTAGTGATTTTCAGTATGCACAATATGTGATGTATATCTAATAACTCCAGAGCAACTGCATTATCAGCCCCAGAGACCCAGAACAACTACCAAACCACTCACCCACATAGTTCTGGGTCCCAAGTCTCTGAGCCCTGCACCAAATCCCAGAAGTTCCATCTCCAAGCTAGCTGTACCCTCTCCTCAGAGTTTAGAGTACTACAGTTATGTGACCAACTCTAAATCTCTGGGTATGAATATCCTTCAACATCTTCCATTTGATCCCTGGCCCCAGTGGTGACAGCTATACCTTCTAGTTTAAAACTTGTGGTCATCTCAGGCATGTGGTTTCTTATTATGTGACTAATATCTGAATGGTACAGTACTTACCTTGGTTCAATATAGTACTAATAAGGAATCAGACACCAGAAGATTTTAAAGTTTTTCACCATTGCCCTCTTCCATCTTAGGGAAATGGTTTAAACTTAAGTAGAATTTCTTTAAGACAGTAAGCAGACGATAAATAGCACTTGCCACTCAACTCCTTTGCAACTTTCTTTTTAAAATAGGATAAAGAATACGCTTACAATTGTATGTTAGATGTAATAATAAATGATGCTTTCTCTGGAATTAAAACCAAAAATTCCCAATTAAAACTTATAAAACCATATATTAAAGGTAACAGAGAGCTGTGCTTACAAGGAGAACTAGACAAATTAAAACAAGGTAATTCTGAAATGAATTGCATGGTGACCTGTATTATTCCCTCTTGAGTACCTGCCAGCACTGCATATGAATAGGAAATGAGGTTTGGTCCAGTGAGAGGAGAGGGCCTTTGCTCAAGACAGAGAAACCCCAATGTTCTTAGTACTACAAAGGGATAGATTCATGAATTAGGCATTTCGGGGGCTTCAATTTCTTATCATTTTCCCCGTTACATTTGTTAAATTCAAGGATTTTTATGGAATCTTGCTGAACAAGTCTGAGATTTCTAAGTGGATATGTTTGTAAATCATGGTCTGTTCTGAACATAGGTCATACTAAAAGGGAGCTTGTCTCAGTTCAGACTCAGTTTCTCTATTAGAATGCTTACTTGGTTTTTTACTTATATTTGGTAAGAAGGTTGAGAGCTAAACAGTGATCTTTTGAATGACAGATTATGATGGTCAGTTTCATGATGCTGTGATGAAATACCAGGAATTCAACTCAAAAGTAAGAAGATTTATTTTGGCTTATGGTTTCTGAGGTTTCAGTCCATATCCATTACCTCTGTGTTTCTGGGTCTATGCAGACCATTGTAGTGGAGAGAGCATCGTGGTACAAAGCTACTCACCCCATGGTGGCCAGAAAAGACACAGAGAGAATCAGGAAGAGACCTGGGACAAGATATAACCCCAAGGACACATCCCCAATGACTTACTTCCTCCAATTAGGGCTCACTTTTATAGTTCCTCTTCTCTCAATATTCTATTCAAAATTTGACTCTATCAAAAGAATAATTAACTAGGTCAGAGTCTTCTTGTTTTGATGGTGTCTGGAATCTGTCTCACAGACACACCAAGAGATGTGCTTTATAAATCGCCTAGTTATCTGTCAATCCAATAAGGAAGACAGTCAATATTAACTACACTTACAGATATAGTAAGCTCTTACTTATTCTACACATAAACTTATGAGAATAATGTGCAACTAATATTTTTGGTGTGTTAATCCATGCAATATCTTAAATGTAGTCTTCTAAAATTATCTTCAGTCAAAATGCCAGTTAGCCAATTTACCTATGAAATTTATTCCTGTATTATTATTAATTCATCTGTCTCTTTCTCTAAATTCTGGTTTTACCTGTTGATACAGGCAATAGTTTTCCAGAATAGATAAAACATATTTATGTGCAAATATGTAATGTCTCTGAGTCATTCATTGACCTTAGAAAGAAAGATACCAATGATTACCGAAGTCTGAATTCCTTATGTAATTTCTGAGATGGGTTTGAGCTTTCTAGAACCTGGAGAATATCAAGTATTATGCAATATTGTTCAATGTTGAGATAAACTGGGACTGGGGAAGCAATATTCGAAAGGATACACGATGTAAGTTGTCTATACTGTGTGGAGAAACAGATGGAACGGGAGTAAAGAAATCAGATGTTTTTCATATTCAACAGTTACTAGATCACAGTACACAAGGGTAAGGAATTCAGGCTTACTTATATTGAAGAGTGAGAAGAAATAAAATTTGTTTGAGATGGTAGGAGCCCAGTAGGGAGGAATCTTGGTCAGTTGCCAAGTTCTATAGACTGAGAGGCTCTTGTTGCTAGGCAGCTAAATCTAGAACTTAATCCAATGATAGACAATTGAAGGAGGGGATTTGTATAATATTTCTCTTGGTTGTGAGGTCTCATATAAAAATCATTGTTCATGTGATAGTTGTTGCAAAGAAGTCATGAGGCCTGGTATCAATATTAAGAATCATGGTAATCATCACTTCATCTGTTGGTAAGTCCATTCAAGAGTGTAACTATAAGGTTGGAAACACAAATAATTAGTACATGAACACATGCACAGACACCAAAATTCTTTGCCAATTGTCCAGATCTTGGGGAAAATTATACTCTTTATTATTTTTTTACTCTCTTCTATTTATTTAGTTGGGAGCCACTAATCTTTTTAATTTGTTGTAACTCATAGTTTGAAAAACATAGGGTGAAACTATGATACAGAACATGAATAGGGGTCAGTGGCTAAAGATATTTGAGGATGAATTGTCACAGTAAAATCAAACAGACACCAGCACTGTATGTGTTGTCCACAGGCATGAATACAGTGAAGGTATGGATAAGGTTATTGGTGGAGAAAAATTAGTAGGCATCCAATTTGTTGAGATTGGTAAAGGATTGATTTAGGAATTTAGTGCAAAACAAGAAGAAAAGGAAGTAGTGGTCTCTTCAGACATGCATTTGGAAGTAGCTTTAGCAGTAAAAGAAAATTATAACTGAATATCGGTCTGTATGACTGCTGAGAATTCTGAAAGTGGAAATCATCTCTATATATTTATGTATATTTAAGTAAGCAAAATATTTCACCTTAACAGAGTGTTAACAGGAAAGATACTTTTTGTTGCTTTTTAGGAAAAGAAATTTCCATAAGTGACAGGAAAATGATTTTAGAGGGAGAAGGTCAAAGAACTTAGAATCAAGATAAAGGAAAACTTCAGGTGAAATGGGTCCTTTGTCCAGAAGATGGTAGGTGCTGAATCTGGCATCTTTCATTTTTGTAATCCCTACTGTGGAAAGTGGTGCTTGATCAATGTGATTTTTATCCTTCAGGGCAAATTTCATTTTTCACAGTTGTTTTTCTCCCAAACATTCCTATGATTCTTAATCTCAGTACTTTAATGATCTCATGAGCCCTGTGAATACTTGCACTAGTCAATGCAAGTATTGTCAATAGTCAATGTAAAATGTTCAATGCAAGTTTACAGATATCTCAAGTATATATTTTTACTAGCTATTCTGCACAAATTGATGGTCCAGATCATTAATTTAACAGTTTTATACCTTCCATTTGTGTTCCACCACTGTGTACCATAGTATCTGCATATTATTCAGATTTAATAATATTTTACTTAAGAAGAAAGCAACACATCACTATTGTAAGCCTGGCACTGTGCCAGATTGGCCAAATCTCATTTTCACAAGTACACAGTAGTACATTTGCATTATTGAGACAAATTATTATAATTGAATTTTTATATGAGATGTGTACCAGTGTTTTTATTTCTGAGATAAATCTATTTGAAGGTTAATCCTTACAATCTTAAATATCCACATTTTGATACCTTTGTCCCATTACAACCACATTTTCTTCCCCAGAGCTTTCCTCCATCCTTTTGAGGTATTTTGATTTCCTTCTCATTTCTGAAGGCACTTAGTTTTGACTTCAGAATTCTCCCATCCCCAACTTTTGCTTTCCCAGCTACTTTGATTTCTTTTTCAGTATATGACCAGGAGGTTAGAAAAATGTTATACTTATGAGTATAGTCAAATATAAACGCCTTTGGAGCACATTCATCTATCAACTAAAAGTACACCTCCCTTCTGATTCCACTACTGTGTTTTGCCTTATTGATTCAAGATTTCCATTATAGTAGATTCAAATACTTTTGAATTACAATTATTGCTTTGAGTCTGTATTACCGAGGGAAAAAAAAAGACTAAGAAAAAAATATTGAGTGTTTTATTACAGATCTCCTAAAAACATGACTAATTATTTAAAATTGAAAGGAAGAAATATTGATATTTATTCCAGTTTAATAATGCATAAATAAAAATTCCCACATCAAAACAAGGTTTATGCTGAATCTTATTAAAATACCTTGGTTTTAAATGTTTTTTGTGGAAATGTTTCCATATATACATATATTTGGAGAACATTGAAATGACTATGAAAGGAATCCACATGTGCTTCATTCAGGTTCGGGATTATTAACTTGTGGCCAACTGCTGGTCTTTGAGCACGAATAAAGTGTTAGTTAAGTGAGACTCTGACTCACCTAAATGAAACAGCAAATCCCAGGTACTATATCAAGTCCTGTCTTGGTCCAAATGCTATTACATTTTAAGCCACATCATCCATCCTTTTTCTCCACCTTGGCTTACTTATAATTTCTCCACTTCAATGTGTGCCCTTCCTTTTATTTTTCTTGTAGGGCTACTGCTCTGAAAATTGACTGTACCAAAAACAGACCATTAAAGGTCAGTGCTGCATAAACCAAGACAAAGGGAGAAGAAAGGCCAGCACTGCCTCCTGCCCTCCCCTCCTTTGCTGTCTCATAGCTCATGATGGCTCTGGGTCAGGCCCTGGTGCACCTGAGGATCACTCTCCTGCATCTCTGGCTGGGTGTATTACTACTTCTTTCTGGATGGTCCCAATCTGCACATATTCAACACCATAGTCCCCCAGAAGTAGTGATACCCTTGAGGGTAACTGGCACAAGTAAAGACATGGGACTCAAAACTGGCTCTCCTACAGCCTCCACTTTGGGGGACAGAGATATTTTGTCCACATGAAGGCCAAGAAGCTTTTGGTATCCAAACACCTCTCTGTGTTCACCTACACAGATCAGGGCGCTCTTCTCGAGGACCAGCCTTATGTGCAAAATGACTGCTACTATCATGGTTATGTGGAAGGGAACCCAGAATCCCTGGTTGCTCTTAGCACCTGTTTTGGGGGCTTTCAAGGAACACTACAGATAAATGATATGCTCTATGAAATCAAGCCCAAGAGCCTTTCTGACACATTTGAACATCTAGTTTATAAGATGGATACTGATGAGACAGAAATCCACCCCAGAAGATGTGCATTAACGGAAGAAGAAATAGCACGACAACTGAAGCTTCAAGGACGTGATAAATCCATTTTGATGCAAAGTGGCTATGAGGGCTGGTGGACCCACACACGGTTTATTGAACTGGCATTGGTTGTAGACTATGAACGTTTCCTTCATCGGCAAAGTAATACATCAAAAGTGCTACAGGAATTATTCATCATTCTCAATGAAGCAAATTTAGTTTTAGCCTCACTGGATGTTGATATTGCTTTACTTGGACTTGAGATCTGGAATAAAGGAAACCCCATGCTACTGGAAGAAATATTTCCTGTCCTGCGAGAATTTTGCAAGTGGAAGAGAGCAAACCTTAATAATCGCATACCACATGATGTAGCACATCTTTTCGCAAAGCATAATTTTGGTATATATCTTGGTGTAGCTTATAAGAGCACTGTGTGTAATCCCACTTTTAGTTGTGGAGTTGATAGTCTTTTGGGAGATGATTTCCATAGCATTGGCCACATTGTAGCACATGAGCTCGGTCATAATCTGGGAATGGATCATGATGACCATGCTCCATGTACCTGTGGGCAGGAAGAGTGTGTAATGACTCCCATAGAAAATCTGTCTACAAAATTCAGCAACTGCAGTTATTCTGTATTGGTGAAAATTGATGCAACAAAAAGCTGTATACTCAGTGCACCCAATGTTGCGGACATCTTGCCATTGAAGCACTGTGGGAATGGCATGGTTGAAGATGGGGAGGAGTGTGACTGTGGATCCTTAAAAATGTGTAAAAACGATCCATGTTGTCAGCTAGGCTGCACTCTAAAATCTGGTGCCCGCTGTGCTTCTGGGCTTTGTTGCAAAAATTGCCAATTCATGCCATCAGGCACAGTGTGTAGAGAACAGGGCAATGTATGTGATCTTCCAGAATGGTGTAATGGAACTTCACAGGACTGTCCAGAAGATGTTTATCTGCAGGATGGCAGTCCTTGCCTAGGCATGGGCTTCTGCTATGAAAAGAGATGTAATATCCATGATGAGCAGTGTAGGCAGATTTTTGGCATTAATGCCAGGAGTGCATCTCGGAGTTGCTATAGGGAAATGAACACCAGAGGTGACCGTTTTGGTAACTGCGGAATAAGTCGCGATACATACATAAAGTGTAATAGCTCAGATATCCTCTGTGGGAGAATTCAGTGTGATAACGTGGCAGAAATTCCCTTTTTAAGAGAACACTCTACTGTGCATCGGACTCAATTCAATGAGTTCACATGCTGGGGTATTGACTACCATTCAGGAATGAGCATACCTGATATTGGTGATGTGAAAGATGGCACAGAGTGTAGTCCACTACATGTGTGCATGAACAGGAAGTGTGTTCACAAGTCAGTTTGGACAAGTGATTGTTCACCAAATACTTGCAATATGAAAGGGGTCTGCAACAATAAACATCACTGCCATTGCAACTTTGGATCTGGTCCCCCCAACTGCCTGATAAATGGCTCTGGAGGTAGTGTTGACAGTGGCCCTCCTCCTGAGACAAATGAAGGATTGGCCAGAAGTTACTTTAATCTACTTTTTTGGATTCCTTTTTGGGTTTTATTTTTGTGTTTGTTAGTTTTGCTGTGGAAGAGGCATACAGCATCTAAGAAAGAAGGGGAAGCTCCAACTTCTGTCTAATAGCAAAATCTTCAGCTGCAGTAAATAATTCCAATCCTCAATGAAACTTTACATGTATTTATTTTTAGTGTCCTGCATGCATCAAAACCATGGAAACACAGAGATCAATAATGATAGGATCTTGAACTTTCAACATTAAATGTAATCCTAACACAGTCTCACTTCTCATTATTTAAGCAATTTGAGTGGATTATTTTAGGGTTTGTTTGCTTGTTGGCTTTACCAGGGATTGAACTCTAGGCAAATGCTTTACCACTTGAACCTCATCCCTAGACCTTTTGCTTTGAGTTATTTTTCCAATAGTGTATTCCACTTTTTTCCTGGTCCAGCCTTGGTCTGCTGTCCTCTTATTTACTTCTAACATGTAGTTGGAATTATATGGTGTGTACCAGCATGTCTGACTGATTTATTTGTTGAGATTGGGTTTGCTAACTTTTTCCCAGGACTGACTTAAACCATAGTCCTTCTGATCTCTACCTCCCATGTAACTGGAATTACAGACACAAGCTACTGCACCTGACCTTGCTATGCTTTTTGGAGACAGGTTCTCACTATATAGCCCAGAATGGCTGGGGCCTGCAAGCTTCTTGCCTAAGTCTCACAAGTACTGACATTTCAGGAATGCCCCCCTCCCACTCCACTAGAAAGAATTATTCTTTCTTTTTTCCCCCTTCTTTTCCTTTCTTTTTATTTTTTTATTTTTTTTCCCAGTCATTGTTTTTATTATCAGTTCTCAGGAAATTATAGTAGAAAACCAGTGGATACAAATACACCAATTACTGAAATCATATGCATACATTCCTTTTATAAATGAAAAAATGACATTCTAATATTTGTTATCAGTTACTTATGAACATGATTATGATCTGCATTGCAAAAGCCAGATAAACTCTGGTAAACCAATATAAACAACTTTCAAAGCTAAGGACAAGATGTGATAGGATATATCATTCAAGAGTTCCTCAGCAAAAACAAGTAGTAAAAGGAAGTCAGAGAGAAGAGAGAGCTGACAATGATCAAGAAAAAAAAAAGAGCATGATATAGTTAACAGTGTCAGAAAGGACACCAGCAAATTACAAGGTTTGAGAAATTTTTACAAAGTTCTTAAATGCAAAGCCAATCAAAAGTAAGTTTCTAATTCTTTCCCAACATTATTTGTAAGTATCAGCTAAAGTAACAGACAGTACTTCCAAACTTTCCTACTTTCTTACATAGTTCCTTTACTAACTTTAACTCTGCCTTCTACTTTCCTCACCTTTTCAAATAGCAAATGCATTTTAATTTCCTGCTCTTAAGTGGATCATTGTATTTCTAAGAGTAGTTGTGGCTAAGAAGGTCTTCTGGGACATGAAAAACTAGAAACCATTAATATATGTTCTGATAACCTTCTATCTTAGAGTCCTACTCATACTACTAATAGGTACCATTCTAAAGGACCCTCAATGTTTTGAGAACTACACTAGGTATTTCTTCAATGATCAAATAAGTCATTTTATGCTAAAACTCAGAAAGCAAAAGCTCTCCAAAATTTCATAGCTGGGAGGGTAGCCTGAGGTAACTCAAGCCCAGTTAGTTCAACTCAGAAGCCTATGTCATCTTCCATATGTCACTATCTTTATCATTGCAAACATGAGTGACAGCAATAGTCCTTAAACTGCAAATAAGAGATACATACTGGCTAGCATGTAGTATTGCTAACTCAGAGAAGCAAAGTTTTGCTAGCTTTCGGCCATGGGTTAACAAAAAAAAAAAAAAAATTTGTCTGAATGATTTTTTGATAACCCTGCAGTAACTCTGCATCTTTACACCAGCAAAACATCCTTGTAACCAAGCTACCATCGAGAATAAAATGCATTTTAAAGTGATATAAGGCTATAAATATAATAGTTTGGAATTTAACCAAAGTTTGCTCTACGTTCTCTGGCAAAAATTTTTCATAAGCATTAGACAGTTCAAGCTTAAAAACAAAAACAAAAAATCCACACAATTACTTAAAGCAACATTCAAAAGAATTCATTAACAGCTATGCAATTAATAGCCCTACAAACACAACTATGAATCAGTTTAATTTTTTTAACATGCATTTTAATTAATAAGCCCCTTTTTTGTTTGTTTTTGGTTTTTTTGTTTGTTTGTTTTTTTACCTGTACTGTTTTTAACTGTTGGGTCTGTAACACAGAGCGCTGAGTTGTAGTATTAATCAGTTGACTTCCTGGGGTCAATGCTGAGACACCAATGACAGGTTTCACCTCTGGCCTCCCTCCAATGGTAACTACTTTAATTTGCTGCGGTGGTAACTTAGCATCTCCTCACTGGGCCTGAGTTGTAACTTTCTGAGCCTGGGGTAGTTGGCTATGGGGTAGTGCTAAAACAATTGGTGAACCAGACTTGCCCAAAGTTATTAAAATTAACTTCTGTCCATCTGGTTTAAGGGTCTGGTTGTCAAGTTTAAGATCAGATGTCTGTGATACTTTGTTTAAAATAATCTGATTGGCTGATATAGTCACAGGAGTCTGAGCACCAAGTTTTTGAAGGCCACTTGGAAAAGTTGGTTTCACTGTGGTATAGGTCGAAGTGGCATGACATTCCTCTCATGTTCCAAAGGAACAGAATCTGCTTTAGTAATTGTGGTATTCACTGCAACTTGGTTAGTGTGGTTACTGTACACTGTGATTGGTTCCGTGGAAAGGGCGTGGCTGTAGAGTCACCAGTAGAATTTATGTTGACAATTTCTTCCAGTTCTGTCTCCATAGGAATTGGGGATGAAACAATAACAGCCTCAATACTATCATCATCCACTAAAGTTATACCAGTGTCCATTATCTCCTCTGGAAGCAAACTATTCACCTCAGCTGGCACCACCTCCATGATCTTCTCCTGCTAGAAAGGTGATCAGGTGCAAAGCCGGCGGCGCCGCCGCCTCCTTCTCGCGCTGCGCTCCCCGGGCTCCCAGCAGCCGCGGCGGCGGCGCGGCGGCGCCTCCGAGACACAAACCCGGGTTTGTTCAAAATCACGCGCCCAGCGCCATTCCACCGCCGCATCCCCTCTTTTTATTTTTTTAAAAAACATGATGTTGGGGTTTGAACCCCAGATATCACACATGTTAGGCAAGCACTCTATCCTTGAGCTCCATCCCCAGACCTACCACTGTGTCCTTACTGGTGCAGTCCACATGGTCTCTCTTTTGGGCTGGCTCTGCTCACTCCAGAAGCTTTCCTTGCTAGAGGTTCCAACTTCCTGTCATCTCCAGCTTCCCGGGGTCACTACCGGATCTTTGCCTTCACTCTTATACCTTCATATGTTGCCCACTCAGAGACTCCCTGCAGGGACTCTGACCCTGCTACACATTACCTGGCCTTCCATGATTTCCCTGGTAACTCTTGCATACTGGATGCTTGCAAAATCAGCATCATATGGATGACACCAAGGCCTGCCACCAGCTGCAGCAGGGCCCCCATACCATGGTTGTAGTGACCTCTGAGTTGCTAGACATGGTGAAATGAATGCTAGGGAAACAACTTCCTATGTAGTCCTAAGTGAGCAGTGTACCCTGGCATAGCTCTTTTTGTCTAGGGAATCTTTCAATTGAGTTTACATTTTTATACCCTGGAGCATGTGGTCTTTCTTGATGATTCCTGAGATGTTCTGCAAGGCTTATTTCCTGTTGTCCTGGTGCAAAGTACTACTTATCATCTGTGTTAATCTTTTCAGAAACCATAGCTTCCTTAGCCAAACCTTTAGCCAGAATTTTCTGACCAAAACATAAATTTGTCAAATCTTTTTATAGCAGTTTGCACCTACTTCTCACTGTAAACCTGGCTAAAAGTAGCTAGTGATATCTATGCTAAAGCCTGAATATTGTACTGCCTTGTACTCTCTTCTACCAGATACATTAGTCTGGCACCATTAAACTCAACCTCTCACAAATTCTTAGGATGCAGACAAAATGTAGACAAGTTCTTTGCCAGAATGCAACCCACAAGGCCTCTAGTTTAATTTCCAGTTGTGCACCTGTTGTTCCCATCTGAAACCGCATGGGACAGTCTTTATTTCCTGCATTTCTACCGGAATTCTGGCCTTCTGAGCTACTACCAGAATCCCCTATTAGACTCTGAAGTCTAGGATTTCACTTGCCAATTTCTTGAAACTTTTCCAAACTCTTCACACAAAAACATAAATCTTCACACAAAGGCTTATTTTTTTGGTTAACAGTTTCAGAGGTTTCAAGGACTATTGCCATAGACCACAAGCCAGATTGAGTATCGTGGTAATGGGAGAATAGTGCAGAAGCTGCTTACGTCAAGGTAGCTGGAAAACAGAAAGAATCAGGAAGGGGCCTGGGACAAGACACAGCTCTGAGGACATCCCTCCAGTGACCTCCTTTCTCCAATGAGACCACACCTTCCACAGTTCCTCCAACCCCCAATAGTCTCCTCAAATTTTGAATCAATCTGTGAATTAAATCATTCATTGAGCAACAGTCCTCATGAACTAATTGTCTCTAGAAGTGCCCTTAGAGGAGTGCTTTACTAATCCCTTAGGTGTTACTAGATCCAAACTGAAACTCAAGATTAATCATCACAGAGATTAATCCCCAAAACTTTTAAAATCTGTACTCCCAGTAAAAGTATAAATGCGTGTATCTGAACAGTTCCATATAAGTAAAGGAGAATGAGAAAGTTATTGAAAAACTCACTCACCTCTGATGTAAATTAATCCATGAATGATGTGGGTAATCAGTTCTTTAGTGTGTCTTTCTAATAGAGGAATATGGAAGAATCTCTAAGAGAACTACCTGGAGATTCTATGAAAGTTTTTTTTTACACATAATGACCTACATACAATAAAAAATGACCTACATACAATAAAATTATCTATCTATCTGTATGTATGTATGTATGTATGCTGTGGTGGTTTGTCTGTCTTCTTTAAAACTAGTATCTAATTTTCAATGTAAAATTATTATGAGGTAGGGCCTCAACAAGATATTTTGACAGGGC